GGTCCCAGGACAATTCTTTAGTAGAACAGTTTATATTCTGGGTCCATCTTGGGCTTACCCACAATTATGAAACCTTTTAAAAAATAGTTTATTTTTTTTATTTTATTTGTATGACTGTATTGCCCGCATCTATGTAAATGCATCCATGTCATGCAATACATGTGGAGGTTAGAAGGAGGCATCGGATTCCCCTAGAATTGGAGTTATGGACAGTTGTTAGCCACCACCTGGGTGCTGGGAATTGAACCCGGGTCCTCTGCAACAGCAGCCAGTGCTCTTGAACACTGAACCATCTCTCCAGCCCCAATAATTATGAAACCTTTTGGCACATTTATGGCATAGCTAGAGACACATGTCTAGTTTAGATGGTTATATGTTTAGTCCCTCGATTAAGGCAAAGCTACAGCTATCTTGTTTATGAAATATTTTCTTTCTCACAAATCTGTGGGCTAATCTGTGGGGTAACACTTGGAAGACATAAATGTCTTCTACTCAGCAATTTTGGCATTTCTTTATGATCCTTGTCTGAATCAGTTAACACCCGAGGAGATGATAAAAGAGGATTGTCTGATTCTATCATTCCATCTAAACACTAATCACATTCTTCTTTAGAGACATACTCCCCATTGGCAGGATGGAGGCAGGTGAAGGTGGGACCCAGTAATCAGACTGTGAGGATTATTATGGCCTGAACATTGGTCAGCCTCCAGAATGGACAAAGAAAGTAGGACTATGGGGGTGGAGAGATGGCTCAGTGGTTAAGAACACTGGCTGTTCTTTCAGAAGACCTGGGTTCGAATCCTAGCACCCACATGGCAGCTAACAACTGTCTGCAACTCCATTTCCAGGGCATCTGATGGCCTTTCCTGTCCTCCATGGGCATTGCATGACACAGGTGCACTTACATACATGCAGGCAATACACTCGTACACATAAAATAAAAAAAATAAAATATTTAAAAAGAAAGTAGGACTAGATGATGAAAACATGTTGATAGAGGAGGCTGAGAGGACAGAGTACCAAGTCCATCTTCAGACCAGGAAGGTCTCAAAAGCTCATATCAGAGACCACCCCCATAGCCAGCTTTTAAGACCACAGGTGCTCTGCTTGCCTTCTGAGTGACATCTTGAAGCCAGTGCTACTCGAGCAGTGACTCAGAAACACTGACATCAGCAAGAGACTAACTAAAGCTATAACACCTAGATCCTACCACAGACCTACTGAACCAAAATCCATATTTTCTTGAAGATCCTTATGGGATATTAAGTCTTTCAAAGTGGAAGTAGCACTTTTTTAAGCCGCCATGGTCCAAAGCCCACATTTTACAGACCTGCCAAAATGATGTCCCCAATAAATATACTCCTTTCCCTGGGGATTTTCTGTGATTGTCATTCACTCCCCAACTGTGTCTCAGGGGAACTTGTAGCCTGTTTTGTTCTGCCCTAATCTGCCCTTCAAAGCCTTCATGACCAAGTTTCTTGCCTCTAGGAGTTTTTGCAATCATTAACTCATTTCTCTGCATCTTGGACAATCCCTAGTTCTTGGGGTCCAGGTAAAGGTCAAATATGAAAGTACCCTGAAAGTATTTGTCCCCAGGAGTAGCCCTCATTAAGTACTTACTCCCGTTAGTTTGAAGATAATAGAGTGTGAACTCTGATCCAGAGCCCATCTTATAAGACAGTGGACGCCATAAAGGAATGGATATGGCATCCCTTCTGGAATATTCTGCACATTAGTTGCCTTTGATCATTTTCAGTAACGGAATATTTTGCTTCAAAAACAAATTTGGGAGCCAATTGCATTTGTACACCTGTGCTTTTCCTCTCTGCTCTCCACATCATTGCTCTGAAAACAAATGAGCCTTTGGGGGGTGGGGTATTAGGACAAATTAAACACATCATAAAGATGAAGGCAGTCCCCCAAATAGCTGCTGTTTTCAAACGACTGCTAACACTTTATATAGAATATCTTGTTATATCTGTCACAGCCCAGTGAAGGGATCATTGGCCTTTAATCACAGTAATTTAAGAAGAGAAGCAAACAGCTCCTTACGAAGATGTCTAGGATGAGAGTCATCTCACCTGAGGACAAACAGGCTAAGCATGGCTAGTCCCTTCTCCACACACAGAAAGGATTCCAGTATTGAGTTACTCATCAGATGTCCACAGAGGCTAAAAGAAAAGAGGAAGTATACTTAAGGAAGTGTAGCTGGTTGGTAACCATAGAGACTGAGTTTCCTGAGCTACTCAATGGGGCTGAGATAACAGTTTGGGAAGAGCCATTTGATTGCATCTGTGTCAAGCCACTGTCCCTATCTTCCTCAAAAACGAAGCCACTGAGCAGGATAGTTTTTATTTCCTTCAGTCAAATCCTGGGCAGGATTTCTTCAAAAGGATTTTATGGATAGCACTCAACATAGTGCCTGGGGCATAAACAGTCTGACAAATTCTAAAAGTCATCATCATGTCTAATGCTTGTAACCATCATCATGTCCTTAGACCTTGATTCTCCTCCCTCAGTGCAAGGACCGCTTGTGGAATGGAGAGCCGTAACAATAGACTGCTCTGTCCTTGGCCAGTGGAAAGCTCACTGGTGAGTTTTAATTCAAAATTGGCCCTTGACTCATCAGTACCTAGGCGTTCTTCCTACAAAATCAGCTTGATTGCCTGAAAGATGTCTGAGCTCATCTCTGGCCTTGACTCTGGAATTGTGTCTATTATGGGTAGCCAGAAGAAGCTGTGGAGATCTTGTGCTCTTCATCAGAGGAACTGCCACACTTCTGCCTTCGATTCCTCGGTCCCTGGGTGAGGACTAAGCTATGGGACTCTCTCTGTCCATGATTCGGCATTCTGTTGCCTGAAGTTAGGAAAACAGGTGACAGGCAAAAGCAAGCCCTTCCCGGACATGTTCTCACCCCTGTCCCAGATATCCCCCTACCTCCTCCCAGATATCTCTCACACCTTGATGCTCACAGGCGTTCTGGGGGCCAGGAGTATTGGCCTCACCTAGGAACTTGTGAGAAATACAGAAACCCAAGCTCTACCCATACCTGCTGCCTCAGAATCTACAGTCCAGCACAGTCCTCGGGTGATTCATGCACACACTAAAGTCTCAGAAAGACTATCTTAAAGCGCTTTGATTCTGTCATGGCTCCTGTTACAACTTGCCATTCTGATAGTTATTAGGTTTTAATTGGCTACCTTAGTGAACTACGTCCATAGCGTGCCTTTCAGTGACTAACACAATGCTTACCACAAACTGCCCAAAGCTGAATGAGTGATTCTCTCACTGGGATGGCTCTCTGCTAGGGCTGCTCTTCTAGAATCCTCTCTTGGTCTCTGGGCAGACTGAATGGTTGATGCATTCAATGATGCTAGTGCCTCATCTAAGTGGAAATGCCTTTTCTTGTGCATTTGTGCATCACACTAATGGATAGTCGTGCTTGGCAATAAATCAGCAGCTTAATACATTTTGAAATGTTGGCTGTTGTCTCACAGAGGCAACAGAAGGGGGAATTTTGTGATGTCAGGTTTTCCTATGAACCACATACGTAATTGTCCAACCACAAACTTAAAGCGTTGTTACCTAGGATAAGAACTCTCAAGAAATAAGGCACCAGCATCAGAATACCAGCAGAGGGGAAAGGACCTTCCAGACCAAGTTCACATCCCTTCCTCTGAGAAACTGAGGCCCAAAGGTACAGACTGACTTCACCCATCTCCAGATCAGTGTGATGCCCAGGCTTTGCCTTCGGAAGGCCACCATGAGTCAGTACCACATTTCTCAGAAAACAAAGTACCAGTTAAAGTGAAGGACAGAGTTCCTGGGACATAAATAAAAATGCCACCTCTCAGCATTTGTACAGAACACTAAGAAAATCAAACGCAGCCAAATGTCAGCCTCTTGCTTTGGTAGAGATTGGGAAAGTGGGTTTTTGTTTTGTTTTGTTTTGTTTTGTTTTCCCTGTAGTCACTCACCCCTCTCTAATCTTCCTTAATATCTTGGTTCAATGCACTGCAGGAGACTGCACCCTGTGCAGGTCAAAAGGTAAATGTGATACTCTGTTCTTTCTTAGGACACGTGACCTTAGGCACATCTCCCTGACTGATATGAGAAGAAGCAACGGGCACAGTGGAGAGGCAGTCTCTGAGGAATCTGTTAGGGAACTGTGTCTTTCCACCACCTCTGTGGTCACCCTCTGGGAACACCTGAACGACCCTCCTTTTTAATCCACTCTGACCCCCAGTACAGACTTTCCTCCTCAGCTGACAATGTTTCCATCAACCTCTTACTCATTTACATAAAAAACTATGTACACATTTACATTTGTTATAGAAAGTATAATGTGACTGTATAAAACATACACTTGTGTTAATGCTATATATTTATAAATATTTGTATAGTATAGTCAGGCATAAGTTGGTAATAAATCCATGAGGGCAGGGACCCAGTTTATTTATGATAGTGTCATGATTCTTGGAATATAAACATTCAGTTAATTCAGAATTTCCAACTGCAGTAGAGATAGAAATATATCTTCCAGGTATGTTTACAACATTTACAGATGAGCCAAATATGGAATGATAAAACCACATACATTTGTACACTTTATTTGATCTTATGTTGACTGAAGGGAAAAACAGTAATATGTGTAACCAAGAAGGAAGTTCTTGACCTGGAGGTAGGCACTCCGTCTGTCGTCCCTGAGCTCTGTGACCTTGCTGCCTTGGCCCCGGACAAGCTGTCTTACTTTGTTTCTTGCCTGTGGAATGTGAAGAGTGATCCCTGTCTTGTGTTTCTGGCAGACAGGTAATCAAACAGATGGACAGAAAGTCCACTGTAAATGAAATCAGTGAATTAATTTTCAAAATTTGAGAGTCAAATGGAGGGTGGATTCTAAATTGCACAGAACTTTGAGGAAAACCAAGGTGTAAAAGAAAATAATAAGCTGTTTTGCCTCAATGGTCATCTTCATCCTGCTCTTCTGTCTCTCCTTCTAGGACTCCACTCCAAGCACAACTGACAAGGTCCCCCTTAAAGGAGGTAAGATCTTGGATTTAGGAGTGAATGCAAAGGTGTAATACCTACTTATCAAACAGAAATGCCATGACTATGCCCATCAGGAGTGGGGCAGGGTAGAGCTGTGGGCTGCTCAGGCTGAGGAAATGCCTCTGACTCATCTGGGTAGCCTCTGATCACTGACTTTTAGCCTCACAAGCCTCCTACCTGCCCTCAATACTCCCACTAACAACATTCACCTCTGGCATAGCCATGGCACAGACCATGGCAGGGAACAAAGGAGTATTGTTTTGGAGTTGGAAACCATAAATTGGACAAATGTCGATCTGAATGAATCTTGACTCTAGTTCCCACTTGGAAGTCTGAATTATACAGCTCTTAAATGGGAATCCTAGTACTCACCTCATTGAGGTACCAGAGGAGCCAATCAGAACTAGTCCATAAATTGTTTGGCATGGTACCAGAATATAATAATGCTCAAATAACTGGCAACAGCAAAATACCTGAAGTTGAGAACCCATGAAAACAGACTTATTCCTCACCCCATACATTACCAGTCACTGAAGTTATGAACTAACATATTTTCCCAACTGGCTCCAGAGGGGATGTAAGCAGATTTCAGTTCACACTGAAGATTAAAATTTAGATCATCTGGATTAAGGTGTTCATGGTTCAGAGGAGGATAAGTCAGACTCACAGAGCAAGAAAGTATCTTGTCCAACATCATATGGGATAAACCAAAAGGTCCTCCACTCTAATTCACTTCATGTCTTTCTACCCAAAATATCAACCTACTCCTCAGTCCCATAACCTTCAGAAACTTGGTAGCAAGCACTGCTAGATAACCACGGAACCCAGAGCAGAAAGGAAAGGAGAAAGACTGGGTGGATGGTGGCTAGAGACACCTGACATCCTTGAGACCAGAGTACACAGATGACCTGGCCCCTCTCCTCACACCAACAGTATAACACTTAGAGTTTCTTTAGGGATACTCTTGACTATGTCTTTCCTACTGTCTCAACCAGAGACTTAGAAAGTAAGAACAAAGAGCCCTGGACCTTATGAAGAGTAAGAGGCCTTCTGAACCCTTTAAGACAGACGAATAATGTCAGCTTTATGAACTATATCTCAACCTTGGCTGGAATCACTTAGCCCCTAGAATGTGGTCTTATTTCCCATGCCTGTGTGATAATCACAGTAATGTAAAAAGGAGCAAGGTCAAGTGTAGAGGTCAGCAAACTTTTTCTATAGAAGTCCAGATAGTAAATATTCTAGGCTTTGCAAGCCTTGATGTCTTTGCTGTCATGAGCCCTGCTGTTACAGTGCTGAGGACAGCCAGACAACACATAAATGAGAGGGCGTGGCTACATTCCCCTAAAACTTTCTTTGCAGAATGAGGCGTTGGATTGGATTTGGCCCATAGACCGGAACTATACACTCCTGTGTTGGAGACGGCATAGGCTTTGGAGTTAAGTGTCCTCGCTAAATTGTAACATTCATGTCCTTGGGACTTTGCAAAAAACACTGATTCAATGTAATTCCTCCATCTCTGGACCCACCACACCACTGCCCCATCCACTTAGATTTTTCTAAGATTATAACTTGCCAGTTTGGAAGGGGCAGTAGTCATCTCCCATGGGATTATATCAACAGCAAGGATAATTTTGATTAGCCAACAGGACCCCGGTCATAGTGAATGGCTCCTTTTTCCTGCCTGTGGAGCACTCCAATCACAGATTACCAAGTACAGAAGCTCTAACTAGTGGTTCTGTCCCCAGAATACAGTTTACATGAGTCTACATGAACAATAAATAAAGAACAAAGTAGCCCCCTTTCTACATGGCCGGTTACATTTAAGGTAAGAACACTCTTTTTTGGAGAGATTGTCCTTCATCCGTGTTTTGGACTTTCATACTAAGAAGCTCGTGTAGATGGATGTTAAATTGGTTTGCTTTTTGACAGTTGTTTTAATAAGCATAAAATACAAAATTAAAAACCTGCTTTTCTCCGTATTGGTCCCCAACTTCTCATTTGAGGAAAAAACTTCATTAGTTCATGAAATCCCAAATTTGGGAGACTATGAATTTGATTACTTATAGATCCCTCCTTACCTAGGTTGACTAGGAATATCAAAATATAAAATAATAAAAAACTAGCCTCTGTTCACAATTCAGTGTTTCTGCAACCAGATTTTATTTTCCAATGCTGATAATACTCCCCATTGGGACTATAAAACTTTGGTTAAAGACTTTTCCTTTCTTCCTTTGAGTTGATTTTAGTGCCAGCCCTAAGATTGAGCAATAAGGGGGTGTGCGGGGAGGGGTATTTCCCTTAATACTCCAATTTGCTGCTAAGGATCTGAGGCCTAAGAAGTCAAGGTGACTTGCCAAGCGTCATGCAAGAGTTGATGGCAGAGCAAGGATGAGAATCTGGGGCTCCCTCTGTTGCCCCTATTTGAGGAGCTTCAGCTTTGAGGTGCTACCACCCTGCTACATGCAGCTACTGAATCTCCCTCTTTTAAGTCTACACTTTCCTTAGCTCTGCAAACTATGGACAGTGTAGCGGGGTAAAGCAAAAAGAATACCATCCGGGGGCAAGAACTGGGCCTCCACAGTATCAGTCTAGGTCTCTCTAAGAAAAGTCTTTTCTCCTTTCTATACCTCACTGTACTGAATATACTAAAGGAATTAGAAGTTGAGGCTGGGAGGTGGCTCTGGGAGTACAGTGTTTACTGCACAAGCAGGAGGACCTGAGTTGGATTCCCAACGCCCATGTAAAGAGCCAGGGGAGGTGGCACACACCTAAGATCCCAACGCTGAGGAGGCAGAGTCAGGAAGATCTCTGAGCCTCACTGGTCAGCCAATCTAGCCAAAACGGCAAGCTCCAGGTTCAGTAAAAGACCCTCTCTTAAAAAATAAGATGGAGCACAATTGAGAAAGACACCCAGTGTTGACCTCTGGCCTCTACATACATGTACATGCACACAAATGCCTATATAAACGTACACGCACTCATTTAAAATGTTATTAGACACTTCCTGAGACTAGAATTCTCTTGTTCTATATGTAAGAAAATAGCCTAACAATAACCTCAAGGAAATCTGAAGGCACAGCCTCCTTCACCAATAAGCCCATCTTAAACCTGTACAACAGCAAGTTATCCCTTTTGAAAAGAAAAGAGAGAGAGAGAGAGAGAGAGAAAGAAAGAAAGAAAGAAAGAAAGAAAGAAAGAAAGAAAGAAAGAAAGAAAGAAAGAGGGGGAGGGAGGGGGAGGGAGGAAGGAGGAGGGAAGGAGGGAAAGAAAGAGAGGAGGGAGGGAGAGAAGGAAGGAGGGAAGGAGGGAGCTATTGCAAGACATTCCAGGCAGAGCAGACCTACCTTCTAGAAATTCCTGGGAGAAAGCCCCAGGGGTAGCATGAGGTTTGTCACAAGGACAGAAGCCAGACATCTTCCAGGGAGCCCCCTCTGCCATAGTGGCTACTGGCAACTGTCTCCCATCGTCAGGAAACCAGCAGTGGCCAGAGCCTAGGATGCAGGGCCTTGCACACATGCTAAAGTAACCCAGCATGGGATATTCTTAGCTGCAGAGAAACCACAGAAAACCACGCCCATGTTGATAATGAGTTCTAGCACAAACTGATCATTCCTGGTCAGACTAGGCTGCAGACAACTGACACCTCACACCCACCCCACCGTGCTTGAGACTCATGTGCCAACTCACACACCATTCTGAGGATTCAGCTGGAGCCTCTGGCCAGCTAGAGCCCTAGGAAGAGAACCTCCTCCACTCTCTTCCTCTGGGTCTTATTCTCTCCTCTAGCAAATAGAGGTGACAATGACTCATGTATGAAGCCACCATAAGGAAGAAATTGGACTGAAAACATACCTTCATTTTTCCACTCGGCTTGAATCTAAAAGCAGAGGGTCTACTTTGCTCTTCCATGTTCAAATAAAATGATCGCATCTCCGCCACACACAGCCGTGTTCCAAGGGAGGCAGCTATGCTTCCCCTCATCATTTCTTGTGCTGATGCTCTCCTTCCACCATTTTTTAAATCTCATATGTCGCTTGTGCCATGGGCTTATTTGTCCAACTCTCAGATGACAGTCACCTTCACCTTGATTTCTCAGAGTTCCAACAGTACCACACACTTGTATGTAACAATGTCTACAGAAGGACTTGAGACACATGTGGAATCTGGCAGGGCAGCGTGGTGCAGCACAGTGCTGCCCAGTAGGTGGTAGAAACCTATGAGGCCCTGTCTTCTGAGGTTAAAGCTGTTCCAGTCACTAGGAACTTCTCAAAAGATAGCGCTCCTCCCTGTGGTACAGTGCCCCTACCATACATGCTCACCCACTGTCCTCTGACCTGCTTTCATGTCTTTCTCTTTATCTCCACACTTTTACACCCTCTTGCATATTGACTTCAGTTTGCATGATGGCTTTTGTCCTTTGATCTCACTCCCAGCATCTCAATATTCCCAAGGCCTTTTCATAACAGAACACCCCGCTAAATGCATAGCTCTTACCTGTGCCAGGTGAATGCTGCAAGTGAGATTTATGGCAGCTTTCCTGTGATACCCTGCTGCCTCTGCATGAGGCCCTGTCAGAGGAAGAATAATGAGATCCATGGGCATCAACAGTGTGCCACGAGAGTTGATTGCACATGACTCCCTTGTCCTGTCCTCAAAGCAAAGCCCCAAAGAGAATTGTCAGCCTCACTTTATATGTAAGGAAACAGGAGAACAGAAAATTTAACTTGCCTAAGAGTTCAGTGACTCAGGAGTAGGCAAGGCCACTAAGCCAGGACTCAATGGTAGAACACTTCCTTCTGGCACCCTATCTGTCCTCAGGTCTAGAATCCTTCATCTGCACCCACTTTACAGCTGATTGGCCCCTCTCTCTGCAGCATACTCTATTACCAAGCTCTGGAACTGAGAAAACCACTGGGGCTTGTGGGCAAGCTTGAGGGGTCATGTGACCTGATGTGATTCCATTCCCCTTGCCTGTCAATAGAAAGAGATTTGTCTTTCCTGCACATGCTGAAACTTCTCGCACCCAGGGTTCTAGGAGGCCCTAAGGCCTCAGACAGTAGATGCAGGTCCTAAATGACCCTTTCTGCTCACTCTCCAACCTGGCCTGACTTCTAGCTCCAACTGAAGATGGGCCCCAAGGGCAGAGAACTGGACTGGAACGTGGTATCTTTATATTCCCATCCTGAAACTTAAAGTAACGGTTTTCCCGCTCAGATTCTTCTGTTTGCTACTTCTTAAGGATTGGATGAGGGGTAAACCTCATGGCTGAAATTCAGGGTGGATTTTGTTTCCAATAGAACAGCCTAGGAATCAAGTCACCACCCTAGAATTCTCTGACCATGTCACTACCCTGGCACTTTTTACATATTTTGGAAAATTGCCCTCCTTGCCCTCCCTAGCTAAAAAGAAAATAGAGGCATCAAAGGGAACTAAATGCGGTAGATTCTATAATAAAGAAATATCAAGAGTAACAAAACTGAACCAAGGAGACTGGTTTCTCCCCAGTGTTCTGCTGACCCAGATGGTCAACGGCCGCATGCCATATGGAATCAGCCTTTCCGGGGTTCTACAGTGAAGACAGAGGGGACAACGTGAAGGAACAGCAGCCTTCCTTCTCCTCCCCGCCCCTTCCCTAGGGAAAACGCACACTGTCTGAAAAGTTGGACTCTGTCAGCAGGAAGGCGCTGAATCCAGAATGCCTAATTTGCCAAGTTTGCTACGTTTTGTTTTCTTCTTTCTTTTCTTTCTCCTTCACAGCAGGGTGGGATGCTCAGAGGGTAAATTGCTTTTCAGATGCTCACTTCACTGGCCACAAGGAGCCTGTATGTTTCTCCATTTGCTCTGGACACTCTCACTAAAACCCTCTCTTAAACTCGTAGTCTTTTTCTCAAGGCAGAGATAATAGGAATTAAGAATATCTCTTCCAGAAATATCCCAGGAAATGAGCTGCTCAGGTAGGTGTGGAATAAGGTCCTAGGGCAGCATCTAGGTTCTAAAGACACTGTTCCTCACACACAAAAAGAGGGAGGAAGAAAGAAAAGAGGGGAGGTGCAGGGAGGAAAGCAGAGAAGAAAAGGAAGGTGATGAGGCCGCTGAGGTGTGTGTGAGAGTTTAGACTAGAATTGACAGATACAATTCACCAGTCTCTAACTGAAGAGGAAATCTCAGAATTCTTTGCCACTAAAGCACTTTAAGGAAGAAAGGTGGGAGGGAGGAGGAACAGAACTAGACTATTCCTCAAACTGGTTCCTTTTATTTAAGCTCCAACACAATTTCTGTGGTCTTGGGTCTCTGCCAGCCAGGTAGCACAGACCCTAAACCGGAGAAGGGAAGTCAACCATTATCTGCTGTTTGGATGGTATGCAGCAGGCTTATTGTTATACATTATTTCATTTAATCTTGCCAACTGTCGAGGTAATTATTATTATTATTATTATTATTATTATTATTATTATTGTCACTCTGGGGAAGAAAGAACAGTTCAGAGAAGCACACAGACTTGTGCCAAGCCCTCTACTAAGTAGCAGAGGTAGGATTTGAACCCAAGTGTGTCTGGCCCAAAGCCCGGCTTTCCGAGAATGTGTGCGTTATTTCTGCATTGCAAATAAGCTACAGGTAAGGTTGTAGATATTATTTAGACTGTTAGAGGAGTTCAAAGATGTTTCTTAAACATCCCCAATGTCAGTTTCATCTACCTTCAATATAAATCAATTCCAAGGAAGAATCCCTAGGGTCAGATGTGTTTATCTTGCATACTGCAACAAATTAAGATTTAAAAGAACTCCAGCTGCCCCCAAAACATTCACAGTATTTACATAATTTGGACTTAATCTCAATCTGTATTTACTGATAATTTTCTCTGTGCTCAACAGTAAGCATGCTGTTATAAACCCAGGGTCATCCAGCCAACCTTTTACAAATGGCTTTTTCTACAGTCCACAGCTCTGTCAGTAGTTGGCCTGGTGACATCAAGGAAGTAGTTAGATTGAAGCCCTGTAAAGTATCCCTCAGTTAAGAATTGACATTGAAGAAAAAAAAAAAAAAGGAAATAATTGACATTGATCCCAAATGCTACTGAGAGTGGAAATTTCTCTAGATGTTGATTTTGGGATTCTCCTGCTTATCCTCCAAGGCAGATGGAACTAAAATACAGAGTCCTGTTTTTTTAAAGGATTAAGATATTTTCAGAATGGAAGGAGCATTCTTCAACCGTCTCTAAAGGGATCAGATAGCCTCAAACACTTAGGTAAACAACCAAAGAACTCCAGTCCATCAGGTACCACCACATACTTCATTTTAATGAGCATCTCATTAGCCAGTTTGCCCTGCTACATGACATTACGAAGCTGTGCCAAGATAACAAGCAAAAGCGGCAGGAAGAGAAAGGGCCTAACTTTTACAGAGTGTCTGCTAGCCACGTGTTACCCTGGTTACTTGGCATCCATAATCTCACTGTGTGACGTAACAGGCACACATCTGTGTTGATTGTTACCAACCTCACTTCACTGGTGAGGGGAATCTTCACCAGAACCATGTGCTCTTGTGAGAAACACCGCCCCCCACCTCAACTAGTCCTTATAACAAAGGTGCTGTACAGCTGGAAGCCCCCTGACATTAAGTCACATGCCATCTGACTAGAGTGAGCAGCATGGTTTCTTTGACCCTGATACAGTTGCCCTGAGTTTACTGCCTCTTTATAAGAGCCCAGTTATCCATGACTTGGCAGGGTTCAGTGCTTGGACTTGAAGTTAGCTACTGGCATTCTTCCACAGGGCGGATCAGGAAGGCTCATTAAGGTTGTTTTCCCAGCACCTTCAGCTGTCTCAAGGCTTCACTTCCAGTGTGTGAAATGGCTGCAGACTCACTTCTACTGAACAGAGCCCTCCATGTTCCACAGGAAGACTAAAAGACAACGACAAAGCTCAGCACAAGGAATCAGGAGCCCTGGGTTGTGAACCCAACTTTGCTACTTATTTATGTACCATAGTCTTGAAATCCTCACTCTCTCTGAGCTCAGCCTTCCCATTCATAAAACCATGATAACATGACCCTTTCGGTCCAACATTATGAAAGTCAAGGGTCAAGGAGAGGTCTAGTTTGTTTGCCACAATCCTGATATTCTAGAACATGGTCCTTTTACCTTTTCAGTCATCTTCAACAATTCTCTCTCTATCTCTTTGTCTCTGTCTCTCTCTCTGTCTCTGTCTCCCCCCCTCCCCCCGGTGAAACCAGCCAGTAAGCTTTCACTAGCACCTTTTTTCTCTAGCCTTCCCAATAAAGCCAAAGAATTGTCCACCATTTTTCCAAAAGAGGCCAGAGCTTGAAAACAAAATACAACGTACCAACTAAAGCTTTGGTCTTCTAAGAAATTTGTGGAGTGAATCAATGATCTGAAGACAGAATGGCCCTCAGAAGGGGGTGGAGCTCTGTGCTCTGGTCCTGTTTCTGTTACTAACTCACTGGGTGACCTAGGACAGCCTGCAATGTGGGCAACTTTGAGAGGAAAGGAATTAAGTTTTTGCTGAGCTTGGACCTGGTGCTCTCAGAAGGCACTTCCATTTCTAAAACCCATACAAATTCTTCAAGAACCAGACTGCTCATACCTTAGATTATCCCCACAGTGAAAATTTTCTCTTCTGTCACTGGTGTCTCTGAAAATCTGAATGTGTGCAGTCTCCTACCTGGGATGGAGCAACACGTACCTAAAGATCAACAGTTAGACCAGGACTGACTTCCTGGCTCCAGCCTCCCCTGAGCCCTATAGCAGTCCCGACAGTGCAGAGGTGCATCAGCACAGCTTTCCAGAATCATCTAAAGGGTTCTTCTAGATCATCAGTCCACAGCATTGTCCATCTAGATGGGGACACTAGATCCTGAAAGAGGAACTTCCAGGATTCTGACTTCCAAACCATCCATCAACGTAACCTCCACCTCCAGGCAGTTTTCATATTGATCATGTTCCACTTCTCAAACCAAACCCTTCCAGACATCACATTCACTGGAGAAATGAATACAACAGAGTTGATAGTCCAAGCTCCCAAACTGCAAGGCTTTGGGACCATAACAGGATTCCTGCTGCATGGCGCACCCTCTAGAAGTCACTCCTTCTTGTCTTAATGCCAAAAGCAAAGATTTTATTAGGGATTTGCTGAGAATGAGGAGCCTTGAGCTTCATGGATAGTGCCCCACAGAATGTTATCTAGGCCTTTATAAGAGCCCCCAGAGCATCTCCCTCCTCCTTGAAGAGCACTGACTGGCCAAATGGTCAGACTTCCATCTCTGTGATTTATAACTTGGATGTTCTTAGTTTAGATCTATCCCTGGCCATATCTGAGAAAGGGAGGTAAGAGTGGTTTTAGCCATATGAAGACTTTTTCTTCTTCAGAAACCATGGAATACTCAGTGTTTGGGCCCCAGCAAGTAGCCTGCACAGTCTTCTTGCTGACAACTTTGTCAAATGTGGAATGACAGATTGTGCCCTCCTCTGGGGCCTGCTCCAAGTTCAAAAGTGCCATTCCCTCAATAACTGCTTCCAGCTCCCTTCCTGAACCAGCTCCAGCAGTGTCATTCATAAAAGGAGATGCTCATGTTTCTCCTTCAGCATGAAACTTTCTAAATGATTCTTTAAGAAAAACTAAAACATGCTTGCCATTTCACTTCAGGAAATGCAAATGCTTCAAAATAAGGTTACTTTTTTCCATCGTCGGGTTTCTCAGAACTGCAACTGAGGTCACCCCACTGAATATGTGAAGAGAAAGGGGAAAAACAGCAAAAGAACCTGTGTGAGAGAGGCAAGCCTGGGCTTGTACTTCTGAACCACCTGTTTGTGGATGCTCAGCTGATACAGATGTCACCACAAGCCACCTGATCTGAAGGGGCCTTAGGCCAGGAGGGCAGAGCCCGTTTTTGATGTGACATGCTGGCTTTGGTCCAGGGCATGAGTTCCACTCTCCTATCTAACCTAGTCAGCAGAGTCTGTGAGAGTAAGGTCCATGTTCTTCATCCCCAAGGGCAAAGGGAAGCCAAGCATCTCCACTCAAGGCACTGATGCCCTAACTACTTAGCTGGTCTCCACAGAGGGAAATAAGAGAGACGTATTAGATGACTCGATTGCATCTTCTGGGATGAGCAATATGAAGATAATAAAATTAGTCTCTTCCAGGGTATGTTTCAAAGTAGAAACGGCCTGATGAAGGTAGAGGTCCCAGATGGAGGGAACACCAGGTATGCAGGTGGAATGAAAAACCCATGTGGTTGTTTGGGGGCACTGCAAGCCTTCAGACTCCAGTAGAGTGTTCAAAAATCTGCTTGGGCATTATAGTCGCACTGGCTGAATTTTAATCTCCATCCTACTAGCTATGTGGATAAGAACAAGCCACTTAACCTTCTAAACCCTTAGTTTCCGTGTGTGTGTGTGTGTGTGTGTGTGTGTGTGTGTGTTGTAATTTGACTTCTATTGCTGTGATAAAACACTCTGACCAAAAGCAACTTAGAGGAGGGAAGTGTTTATTTTCGTTTACAGGTTACAGTCCATTAGTGAGGGGAATCAGGGGAGGTACTCCAAGCAGGAACTTGAATCAGAAACCATGGAGAATCACTGCTTGCTGGCTCACTCAGGCCTATGCTCAGTTAACTTTCTTATACAGCTCAGGACCACCTACCCAGGGAACACCACCACCCACTGTGGGCTGGGCCCTCTTATATCAATTAACTGTCAAAACAATCCCCCACAGACCTACCCACAGGCCAATCTGATCCAGGAAATTCCTCAACCGAGGCTTTCCTTTCAGGTGAATCTAGGTTGTGTCAGGTGGACTAAGCTAACTCAAACAATGTAATAGAACTAATTATAAACTGTCTCTCATAGGATGGTACTGAAATGGAAATGAAGTAATGCATGTAACATGTTCAACAAAGTATCTCAAAAATAGCCATCACACAATACTCTTTGCTTATGATGATGTTGATGATGGTGATTTTTAGCATGTATAATAAAAGGGGAAGAGGAAAGATGGCGGGGGCAGGTGAGGCTGAAAAGGTTGCTGAGAAGAGTCAGAACCGAGGGGTCCTGAATACCACCCTGACGACCTTAAACCTGGTCCTGTAGGCAACAGATGTTTAGACAGTGGTTCCAAGCAAAGAGATCCATCCAGAACTGCCTCCCTCTGGTCCCTTCTGATTGATAGTCCACAGCCTCAAAGAGGAGACTGAACCTTGGGAGTCAAATAGCAGTCATGGTATGTTAGAAGAATATTAGCCTTTGGTGTTCAGGTTCTAATCATGCACACCCTGAGAATACGTGCCAGGGCAGCAGGAGGCAGGACAGGAACAAACTGTTTGAATGATGAGTACAGCCCTTTCTGGGCCAGAAGTTGTATGTGAGTCTAGAGCTGCTAAGGGTGAAACCTGCCCCTCTTTTCCTGGGGGTACCTCTAGCAATGAGCTTACTCAGACAGCAGAGGGAACTCTTCCCCTGAACGTTTAACTACTCTCAGTCTCCAGGGACTTTCTCAGCTCTGGGCAGAGAAAGTACTTAAGTAGGTTGGGAGCCTTGGACATACTATTCAGAGAAACAGTTAGCAAACACAGCAGGGTATGGTTCCCATTGCAGGAGCCTGAGGCTGTTAGTCTCTGATGGACAGACTAAATGGTCATCTCTGGTAGCATCATTAAAAGCATATCAATGTCAGCTTGGAGAGCTCCCAGTTTTACAGACAGGAGAACCAAGGCCCGAAGAAGAGAAGAGATTTGTTCCAAATAAATTGAATTTGTGAGGCATTGCAGGAAATGTATAATTTGGTTCTTTGCATACAAAAATAGTTGCTACAATAAGAAAATGCTAAAGTACCATCCCTGGTGAAAATATTAAAATATTTCTATTTCTCAAATACCATAATGACATAAATGCTGTGTTTGTCTCTGCCAAAGAAGCCCCAGATGGAGGCCTCCTGATATTAATCATTGTCATGAATGCTCTGTCCTCTTAAAATTGAGTGAAATGTTTTTATCTTTGTTGTCTAGCAAGTGGTCCTGAAAAAGAAATTCTGGCCTCTGGAATCAGACAGACATGGGGATTCCCAACATTTCCACAAGCTCCCTTGACCTTCAGCACATCATTGAATGTCTTTAGACATCAGAGCTAGCCCTTCAGGATTAGTCAGGGAACCAGATTAACTGATGCAGGGTAAAGGCACAGAGTCAGATGTGCACGCAGAGGGTAGGACAGCATGAACTACCATCGGTGTTGCCATTGTAATGACTGGTGCAGGTACTTAAGCTGGGTTGCATGGGACTCCCAGTCTCTCCCTACCTTTAAGAGGCATTTAATAAAACCTCTTTCTTGGAGATGCTGCAAAGATGAAAGGAAAAGAAACAGAGATTGTCAAGGATGGTGCCCTGGGCATTAGAGGAACTCGGGTCACCTTTGATTGGCTTCTGTAGAGTTCTGTAAAAGCCCAAGTGGAAGCAATCAATAAAAACTAAATCCTAGAAAAGTGAAAATCCTAAGCTATTTGACAGCAAAGAACAAAAGTTTTTCTTTTACCCCTCAAACAGAAACAGAATAGTAATTGTCAATATCAAAGGGTCACAGAGATAGGGTTGTCTACAGTCCCCAGAGGAGCAAAAGACAATTCATACCTGATCTCGTTTTTAGGGAATTGCTCAGAGGACCTCTTATGTATCCTGAAAAGGGCTCCAGTCAACAAGTCAAGGGCCTACCTCCAAGGTCAGTAACCAAATTCAGAAAACTCTAACCCCACAAAAGCCACATCCTGTGTCCATTTCTTTTCTTTAAATTTTTATTTGTATTCTATTTAATATGTATGAGTGTTTTGCCTGCATGTATATAAATGTATCATGTGTGTACAATGCTGTCGAAGCAAGAAGAGGGCGGTCCCCTGGAACTGGAGTTATTAATGGCTGCTTGTTAGCCATGATGTGGGTGCTGGGAACCAAACCAGGTCTTCTGGAAGAGCAGCCAGTGCTCTTAACCACTGAGCCATCCTTCCAGCCCCTCCTGTGTCGCTTTCTAATCCAGAAGATCTACTTGGGAGCATGTGGCTGAGTGTGCCCAGCAGGTGTGCCATATTTTTTTAATGTATTTTGTTTTGCTGTCTTTTTGAGACAGGGTCTCCCTGTAGCCCCAGCTGCCCTGGAACTCACTATGTAGACCAGGTTGGCCTTGATCTCACAGAAATCTGCTTGCCTCTGCCTCCCAATGCTAGAATTAAAAGCATGCGCCACTATGTCAGGCTTGTGCCATATACTTAAAAATTTAATTTGAATGACTTAGAGGAAGAAGGGAAATGTTTCTCTCTTCAGCCCCACTCACTGCTTTATATTGCCTACTTGGCCCCTGAAGGCTCTTTTGTCCCTCCCTCACCTCCACTACCGTGCCTCTGCCTCCATCACCTGCACTCCTGTCTGTTCAGCCACCTACGAGTTTTGGACCACATGTGTAGTCTTTTTTTTCTAATGCAAAGAAAGCGCACCCTCCATCTCTACCTCTATGAAGTTATTCATAGAGGAACTACAAAATTGCCTGGTCCCCAGATTGACAGCTTAATGAACATATTGGCAAAGGGTCTGTTTGCATATTGCAGTGTGATTCACGTAAGGGTCCTTATAAATGAAACAGTGAGAGGCGCTTATACTGTGAAAGAATGAGATATGGAAGAGATGACCAAGATTCCCTGAATAGCCATTCTGCTCATTTTAAAAATTCAATTTTGCAGTTAGATTAGTTTTTGCCTTTCAATTGAATTGCAACAAGGTTTGGAGGGAAAGCCTAGAATCAATTAAAAGCAGCATGTCAGTTTCCCAGCTCTGAAGGCACCTTGCCAGTCAGTGTTAATTTTCATTTGTTAGGATTCACAGACTTGGATTTGACACAAATGTGTGTGCTTAGAGGCTTGGTTAATTCTCTGCCTTTCTATAAACCCCAGGTGGCAGAGCCCCTTGCTATGCACGTGAGGGGCCCATACAATGATGTTTGGCTGTCCTTCCAAGAAAGGAGACGTTCAAAAATTCAGAACATGTTAAAGAATGTATCTTATTTTAAGCATTTTATTAGCATATATTAATCATACAAAATAATGAGTTTCCTTGTGACATTTCCATACATGCATATAAGGTAATTTGATTTTATCTTAATTTAAAGTTAATGGAGATTCTCCTGGACAATTTGATACTTAAATCGATTATAACATGAACAACACTGAATAACCCAACTCCGACACTACCTGTGATACCTACCAAAAGAGTATTCAACACTAAATGCTCTTGATAACGATTCAAGAGTCCAGACCTTGTGCAAAATACAGGTCAAGTGCTTATAGTCTAAAGGGGGAAAGAAAGGCCTGGTGAGGTAGCTCATTTGATAAAGAGCTTGTCTTATACACATGAGGAAGTAGGTTCAAGCCCTAGAACTCAAGTGAAAAAAAAAAAAAAACCCAGGTGTGATACCTATACTTGTAAATCAGTCATGGAGAGATAAAGAAGTGGGAATCACTGGACCTCATGGGCCACCCACCCTAGCCTACACTTCAGACTAGTGAGAAAACCTATTTCAAAAAACAAGGTGGGGGGTGGAGAGATGGCTCAGCAGTTAAGAACACTGGCTGTTCTTGCAGAAGACTCAGGTTCAAATCCCAGTACCCACATGGCAGCTAACAGCTGTAACTCCAGTTCCAGGGGATCCAACAGCCTCTTCTGTCCTCCCCGGGCATTTCACAACATGGGTTCACTTACATATATGCAGGCATAACACTCATACACATAAAATAAAAATAATAAATAAAAAAACAAGGTGAATTGTGCATGAAGAATTACACTCCAAGTTGTCTAGCCCATACACATGCATGCATACACACCCCAACAGCGACCCCCATCTACACACACACACACACACACACACACACACACACACACACACTTTTTAAACCCTGGAGATGTATCTTTCCAAGGGACTGAAGGAGAAGAGAACTAATTCATACACTTTGTGATTTCAGTCTTGTTCTTTTGCCCATTTTGGATATGTGTACCAAAGAATAAAAACAGGAACTAATAATAACAATCACATAATAGAATGATTTTTAAGAGGAAACCAGCTATAGGAATGGTCTTCCTTTATGAAATCCTCCTATAGAAGTTTTTCCTTTTCCAACCATCTAGCTTTGAGCACTAGAGAAGAGGAAGAGATGGTTTTCTACCAATGCCTTGAAAAGTAAATTCTAGAATGAGATATGGAGAAGCGTTTCTAGAAAGAGCACCTTAGAAGATGTTTGAATGTTTGGGACAGCAAGCAAAATTCTAGAAAACATGAGTCTTGAATGGGAACTTTGAAAGACAGGCTTCCAATTTGTACCTAAAATGTGGTCAATAATTCTGTTTTTATCCTTCTAGTGTCCAAACACCTCAATGATACCAAGTTGTCTTGGAACCAAGACGGCATCATCCATGGAGTCAGATACCAGGATGGGAACCTGGTGATCCAGTTCCCAGGCTGGTACTTTATCATTTGCCAGCTGCAGTTTCTTGTGCAATGCTCAAATCATTCTGTGGACCTGACATTGCAGCTTCTTGTTAACACCACAGTCAAAAAACAGGCACTGGTAACAGTGTGCGAGTCTGGGATGCAAACCAAAATCATATATCAGAATCTCTCTCAGTTCTTACTGGATTATTTGCAAGTCAACACCACCATATCAGTCATGGTGAATAAGTTCCAGTATGTGGATACAAGCACTTTTCCTCTTGAGAATGTGTTGTCTATCTTCTTATATAGTAGTTCAGACTGAATAGTGGCTCTTGGCCTTCAGATAGAACCATACAATACTTGACCTATCAAAAACGGGCAAAAAAAAAATATGTTAGAACAAGACTAAGATCACAAAGTGTATGAATTAATGCTCTTCTCCTCTGGTCCCTTGGAAAGATACATCTCCAGGGTTTAAAAAGTGGAGACTCATTGAGATGGATGGCAAGGAAGCAGTGTAGTATGTGGACAGAGGTCCCACAGGGAAACCAGAAGTGATTGGGTTTCCCCAGTCTAACCACTATTCACTATTTGACCTTGAGCCATTTTTCTTCTCCCTGGAACTTGGGGTCTGGGTCTGAAAAAGTCTGAAAAATTAAGAGACTGGATTTGTATCTCTCCAAAACCCCCTTCATCTTAGAAGATCATACTTGTGAGCTAAATAAGATTCCAGGCAGAGTTCTGGAAGCTTGTAAGCCCAGTATAAAATTGATGGTACCAGTGACGATAGTTGCAGGTCATCACAGCAGGTCATATGGACAAGGTTCGTGGTGCCTTACAAAATGATGCTTCACCAGCTTGTAGTGGCCAAGCTGATGCTGTCCCTTACCTATGGAGTGGCAGCTTCCATCTCCTGCATGATATATATGATGGTCATTCCTTGCTTCAAACACCTTGCTCAGTCCAAACTGTTGAGAGACGATGATCCTGAAAACAGTGAGAACTCCTGGGCAACAAACAGCAACTGCCTCTCCTGACCTGGGAAACCATGAGATTCCCTTGTCTACTACATCAAGCTTGAGATTTCTGCATCATCTTGAGAGGTCCCTTCTTGAAGGATTTTGACAAACCATTCAAGTTGGTGTGAAGCCTTGGGGGTATGCTTTGGTAAGAAAAAAGAACCCTCCAGTGTTATGCAAAAGAATGGAGCAAAATATGTATTTGTCTCAAGAAGAGGAGAAAAATAAAGTTTTTCAGAGAAATACTAGAAAAGATTTTAAAAGAAAATAAGAAAACCCAGCTATTGTGATGTGGATGAGAGGGCCACAGGAAAATAAAATGATCCAGGGGAATGGCTAAGTCTTTGCTGAAAAGCAAGCTAAATCAGCCTCTTCCTAGGTTAAAAAAAATTTCTCTATGAAATAGTAAAGTTTACTTTTCTCTTGAAGTCTCTCTGTGAGTAGATTCTTCCAGAGGAGTGGGTATTGATATTGGAAGAAAGGTTGAGGTGCACAAGTCAAGTTACACATAGTCAAATAGAAGCAGGTTTTAAGGACATGATGCTAGAAAATAAGGGAACAGCTGACATTTGTGCTATACTCAAATATAGGCAAGTGAATCTTAGGTTAAATCAACTCATGCTTTCTAGAACAATCTATGCAACCTGTGTGTAAACTAAGCAGTGTTCTCCCTTCGCAGTTCCTAACTCAGGAAAGATTCCATTTTCAGTTTCCACAAACTGTCCTCTGAGCAGAGGTACCTGACCCCTGCCTTGTGATTGGTTCCTAATCAAAGTCTCCATCAAACTGTGACCATAAAGTCAACAGCTAAAGAGAGGACGCTTCATTTAAAGGATAAAATGTAGCAAAATTGAAGTAACTAACAGACAATAATTATTAATGTCAAATAGTAGATGAATAGAAAATGGACAATACAGGAAACTGATTCTAAATTCTATGCTTTTGAAGGTTAACCAGCTCCCTAGGAATTTTATGGCAGATCTGTATTACTTATATTTCCTTGTTGTGACAGACAAAATACCTGACAGAAGCAACCTAAGAGAAGAATTTACTTTGATTCATGATTTATGAAAGGATATGGTCCACCATAGAGGCAAGGCAAGGAGGACGAGTGTGCAGTCAGGAAGCAGAGAGAGATGGAGACTAGTATTTCACTCAGTTCCTCCTGTTTTCCATCTAATTCAGTCCAGGACCCCAGTCCATGAGATAGGACTACCCACATTCAGGGTAGGTCTTCTCTCAGAAGCTTTCTAGGAGCATCCTCACAGATATATCCAGAGTTGTGTCTTCTAAGTGATTCGAAACAAAACACGGTTCTTTAGTAAAACTTCAGTGAGCTAATGCACTCTACCCTCCTGTGTTCCTCTTACACTCTACCCACAGTACACGTACACAGAGTACACTTGCAGAACTTGTAGAGGATGAGGTGTGCAAGTTGATGGCCATACTCACTCAGTAATTCTATTTTTACCCCTACAAACTATGTGATTTTGATAACTTATTAGAATTCCCCCAGCCACTTAAAAGTTGACTCAGAGAACATCCCAGTATCCAGTTTTCTGTCAACAGGAAAAAGTGCTGAAGGAATTTGGTGAGAAGCTAATGACAAAGAAGGGTTCCAGAATCCTAGGATACCATTGAACACTGTGAAACAGAGAACAAAACTTTTAATTTAATTAAAAAGATACATAAGTCAGCTAGCATCATCTGAATAGTGATTCTGAGACATCGGTTCACCCCAATGAATTCTATTCTGTTGTGTAGAAAGCCAGTGGGAAACAGCACTTATCTAGCCCTCATGAGGACTCGCACCCAGCCTCCTGACGCCTCTCTCCGCTATTTCTCACCAGACTTTATTGGTTCTCCTGTGCCCTTGCTGGAATGCTTCGGGTCACTCCTTTCTTTCCCTACATCAAAGCAGCCCCCCAGCATTCAGGGGATCCTTTGGTCTCCACTCCAGTCACTCCATCTCCATCTTGTCTAGATTTGGTGCATGACCAAATCATAGATAAAGATTAGAGTTCCACAACGTTAAAGTTATAACTTTCAGACACTGAAGCTATATATGACCAAGCCAATACTTTTTCTGATGAAAGGAGTAAAGCTTGTTGTAATTTGAACCTATGCGTGTATACAGGTGCATATGTACGAATGTATGTACTTCCAGGGACTATAGGGATATTCGTCCAGTAATGTTTTGTAAATCATCTACTTAACCTGGTTCAGGGTGGAAGCCTGAGTCTTACTCTGGGAATTGCAAAGTTTATATATGTTTATATTTATTTTTAATTAAGAAAAGAAAATAATATTTCTTCTATGCCGCATTAGCTTATTTAATAATTATTAATATTTTTCCCTATTTGCTTCTGCTTCTTGGAAAATAAAAATGACAAACACAGCTAATCCATTCTCCGCTCTCACTCCAAAGACTGCATGACCGCTGTCTGGAAGTTTGTGTGTGCTCTTCATTTACATAAATTTACATTTTGTTGTCTTAAGAATGCATAGTACAATATTGTGTGTTTTTAAATTTTTTAATAAATGATATACTTTATATAACATTTTGTGACTTGCGTGTTTTCGTGTAACATTAAAGTTTTGAGTTTTATCCAGGCTGACACATGTAGATCCAGATTTACTAGCAAAAATACTCTTAGAAAAGCAATGATGCCCCAAAGCTAAAGATTAACCACGATGCTTCATTACATCATTGTTTGCCCATTGTCCTAAGGATAAATATTTAATTTACCACCATGTTTTTTTCTATTTGTTGGGCGCAGTGATGCAGCAAACACATCTTCTTGTGGAACTCCCTTGCTGTCATTTTTCTATGCAGTAAAAATACTCTTAGAAAAGCAATGATGCCCCAAAGCTAAAGATTAACCACGATAGTGACAGTTCAAGCCTCTCTGTGATCATGCCTAACTGGAGCCTAGTCAGTCCCTGAAATCTGAAATATTTTTCCGTCTCTTCCAAGTACTGCTCTTCATCCATTCAGCACTGATGTTCTAAGTACCAATGTGACATCAGGCCCCATGTGAGGTGCCAGTGTATGATCAGCATTCTGAGTGCATTTGCATCGTACTTTTCCAAGGCACTTCGGATCTTTTCTGGACTTGGTTCTTTTTCTTGAGAGTAAATGAAAAACATTAGAGTGGATAAGGATAAATCACAGCCTCAGAAAGGGGTGCCTCCCTCATGATCAAATGTTCATATTTCTTGGGCCTGGTCCAGATCACTTTCTCTTCATCTTCCTCATTATCTTGCTGGGTGACTTAATCAAACTTCATGGCTCTGAGTGACATCCTTCTGCCAATGCCTCTAAACGTATCTCCAATTTGTCTTTATCTTAAAATCCACACAACTTCAGTAACCACTGGACTCTACCCATAGTTCTCTCTTGAGACCTTGTAATGAAGACCAACATGCATAATACAGTGCAGTGGTTTTCCAGCATGGTTTCTTCCTGACCTACAGGAATAAAACACCTTGCATTGCCAACAAGAACTGAAGTTTAAAAAAATCTTGTACTCACCATCTTAATTGGTTTTATGATGGTCTTGTCACACACTATACTTTGCAAACCACTATGCTAGTACGCAGTCCAGATGTTGCAAAGCTAAAAATATACTTCCCTTACTCCAGTGTAGTTAGGGATCTAGTGCTGACAGGCTTGGGAATGTCTGTTCACTCACGCAGCAAGCACAGCTGAGGAGCCACTTGGTTGTGTTCTGCAGCTGGCAGACGTTCCAGTGTTTGGCTGCTAGCTTTGTAAGTCATGGAGAGGCTATGGGAGTGGGAAGACTATCTATCCTGGTAATGTGATCTATTGCAGAAGTCTTTTGGTTCTAGAGCCCACAGCAGTGGAACAGCTTCCTCATTGTGCGGTTTCCTGTTTGTGAAAACTGGCTCTAGAAGAGCCAGCTTCCTGATTGCCAGATTACGGAAGGGGCTACTGCTACTGCAGCACTTACTTCCGATGAGAGGCTATAGAATTGCTCCTAAAAGCTTGATCTGTTTCATCAGCCCTCCTTAAAGCCCTGTGATAAACCTCCAGTTAGCCTTAGTAGTTAGTGTGCTAAAGTGAAGTCTGTTCCTTGTCACTGATTCCTATTGAATGCAGTCTCAGTATGTTCAAAGTGGCCTCATGATAATACCTGAACTTTAGTCCAAATCTCACTGTGGTTTCTCATGATTCTCATTTCCTACCCAGTCACCCTCTCACCAATTCCTCCAGCCTCTCATTGCATCCGCCATCAGCTCACTCACCTCACTCACATCATTGGCAGTGTCATTCCTTACAAATCCATCTCCAGGTGTCATTAATAACTCTCTATCCTTTCTAGGATTGAAAGTAGAAACAGTCATTTATCAAGTTCTTCCATATCTGGCACTTTTCACGAACTCGTTTGTTTTATCCTCAAATCAGCCTTGGGAGATGGGCATCATTATCCCTCCGCTCCTGACAAGGGCATGGAGAGTCCCAGCCTCTGAGTGGCATAGCCAGCACCTCACAGACAGCAGATGGAACAGCTGGGATTCAGGAGTTACACATCTCTCTAGCTTCATGCCCACCCTCCTCCTGCTGCCTTTGCTCAGATCTCAAGGAACTTTCCGGTCCTCAAGCCTTCCATG